TCCACAGCCCACAGAAATGGGGACTGTCCTCATTTTACAGGTGAAGAAATGGAGGCGTAGACAGGGAAGTGACTTGCCTAAGGTCACACAGCCAGTAAGTGGTAGAAGCTGGGATTTGAGGTCAGAAGCTCTGGTTCTAAAGCCTACACCGTATGGCTTCCCCTTTATATGTGGGAGGCATGACATTATTATTAGGGCCTTAAAGAGTCAGCATGGGGATTGCCACCACCCTGGGGCTAGGGATGGTAGGGGTGTGGAGGGGTAGGGAGTGGACACTTGCAGTGATGCTCTCCATTGGGGCAGTGGCTTGCAGTACACACACCTTCCTGGTTCATCCCAGACACCAGTGTCTCCCCAGCATCCTGCCGGGGACTCTGGCTGCCCCTCCCCTCTCAGGCAGATTTGGGATAAACAGGCTTGGAGTTCCCCTGTCCTAGAGAGAGGGAGGGCTCCTCATCTCGTGAGGCTGACCCCATTCTGGGGGCGTGGAGTTACTAATAGCCTGCAGGGCTGTCATCCAGCTGGTGACTCAGGGCAGGATCAGCCCCCTCCCCTTCCCTGGTGAGGCCTCTACCTGGGAGAGGGGCTTGGAGTCCAAGGCAGGACCCCAGTCAGGGTTGCCGGGTGGAGGGCTGGGAGTGGATCTAGGGGTATATCCTGCGGTCTGCCTCTTCTCCCAGGGCCTTGGCTAAACTCTGTAGTGGTACTGGAAGGAGGGTCTGGGGGAAGTGGGGAAGGGGATGTGGTAACCAAAACCACTTCCTGCCATTGCGTGTTGAAAGCCAAGCTCTCCTCAAGTTCCCCTTGATGGGGGTGGAGGAGCCAGAGGGCAAAGGAGGAAGTTGGGGTGGGGGGCAGGAGAGGAGGGCTGTTCCTTGGATTTATTTCAGGAATCAAGCCGTGGGGTTCTTGGCTGGGTGCTCTCTCTCTGCTCCCCAGTTGGTAAAAAGGGCCAGCTGGCCCGGAGGCAATTATAATTAGATAACAGCAAGCACTTATTACCATGTAGCAGGCACTTTATATTTGCTAACTCATGTGATCCTTACAAAACCCCTGGAGGTAAGCACTATTATTCTCCCCGTTTTACAGACGGGGAAACTGAGGCACTAACCGGTTAAGTCAATTGCTCAGGTCATTACAGCGAATCAGTGGCAGACTGCTCTCAGCCATCACTCTATCCTGCCTCTTAAGTGACTCTGTTTCCCATACACTCTGTCCCTGACTCACTCTGTGACCTAAGAGAGGTTACTTCTCCACTCTAGGCCTCAGTTTTCTCATCTGCACAGTGGGGGTGATTGAAGTAGATAAGTACACCTCCCCTTTTGTGATGCTTGTTTCTCTGGCAATTAATTACTCATTCAGTTTCTCCTCTACTGGACTCTCAGTTCCGTGAGTACGGGGACAAGGGATATCTTGATCACTACTGTATTCACAATTCTTAGCATAATATCTGGCCCCTAAAAACTCAAATACTTCCCTTCGGGAACAAGGGAGAATGAAGAAAACAAGATACAAGGGAAATATTAGTCCAAAGGACTAATGGACCACAACTACCATGGCCTCCGCCAAACTGAGTCCAGTACAACTAGATGGTGCCTGGCTACCACCACTGACTGGTCTGACAGGGATCAATCACAACAGAGGGTCCCAGACAGAGCTGGAGAAAAATGTAGAACAAAATTCTAACTCACAAAAGAAGATCAGACTTACTGGCCTGACAGAGACTGGAGAAACCCCAAGAATATGGCCCCGGACACCCTTTTAGCTCAGTAATGAAGTCACTCCCGAGGTTCACCCTTCAGCCAAAGATTAAACAGCCCCATAAAACAAAATGAGAGTAATGGAGCACAACAGCCCAGGACAAGGACCAGAAGGCAGGAGGGGACAGGAAAGCTGGTAATAGGGAACCCAAGTAGAGAAGGGTGAGTATTGACATGTCATGGGGTTGTTAACCAACGTCATAAAACAATATGTATACTAACTGTTTAATGAGAAACTATTTGTTCTGTAAACCTTCATCTAAAGTACAATAAAAAAATTTAAAAAAAAAGAAAGTTGAACAAGAAATAAAATTAAAAAAAGACTCAACTACTTGCTGAGTGAGTGGTCTTTAATGGTTTGGGGATCATAACTTCTTTGTACATCTGATAAAAGTTTTGGACCGTTTGCATAGAAAAATCAACATATACCTGTGGTTCTCAACCAGAGGTGATCCCCTCTCCAGGGGACATTTGGCAATATCTGGTGACATTTTTGGTTGTCACAATTGATGGGGTGGGGAGTTGCTGCTGGCATCTAGTGGGTAGAGGCCAGGGATACTGCTAAACATCCTGCAATGCACAGGACAGCCCCTCAAAACAAAGAACTACCTGGCCCAAAATGTCAATAGTGCTAATGTTGGGAAACCTGACATATACATAGGTATGACATTTTTCTAAAGTCTGTGCCACACAGGGAAACCCTGGTGGCATAGTGGTTAAGAGTTCAGCTGCTAGCCAAAAGGTCAGCAATTCAAATCCACCATGCGCTCCTTGGAAACCCTATGGAGCAGTTCTACTCTGTCCTGTAGGGTCGCTATGAGTCAGAATTTGTCTCGACGGCATCGGTTTTCTTTCATGCCGCCCAGATTAAGTCCTCCCTGGACTGGATCATTTCCATCTCTGAAATCATATTGTTTCTATGACTCCACACTCCCAAGTCTGAAAAAATAGGCCCCTTGGGTCCCCTGTGCTAGCCTCTGATTCCCCAAAGTCCTCTTATCCAAGGTGGGTGGCAGGGGATCAGAGGAAGATCCAGGTTTCAAGTCTCCCCTGCCCCCCATCTCAGTTCCCTGTAATGGTAATAAAGATGAAAAGCTCAGACTTCAGAATCAGGCCGCCCTAGGTTGGAATCCTGGTTCTGTATATTAACTGGATGTGTGATCATAGACAAGTTCCTTAACTGCTCTGAGCCTCAGTTTCCTCCTCTGAAAATGGGAGGGGTACCCATTAAACTGGAGTTCCTGGATATTGCAAATGGTTAACACCCTCAGCTGCTAGCCAAAAGGTTGGAGGTTTTGAGTCCATCTAGAGGCACCTTGGAAGAAAAAAAAACTAGCCATTGAAAACCCTGTGGCACACAGCTCTACTCTGACACACCTAGAGTCACTGTGAGTCGGAATCGACTCAGTGGCAACTACCTCATGGATGGTGGTGAGGATGAAATGAGGGGTATGTACAGAGCTTATCACAGTGCTCAACACAGTACATCTAAAAAAAAAATGGTAATTCAACATTATGGTTACAGCTTGAAGCTCTAGTGATACAGTGGTTAAGAGCTCGGCCGTTAACCAAAAGGTTGGCATTTCGAATCCACCAGCCGCTCCTTGGAAACCCTATGGGGCAGTTCTACTCTGTCCTGTAGGGTCGCTATGAGTCGGTATTGACTAGAAGGCAATGGGTTTGGTTTTGGTTTATTACAGCTTAAACGGAAGGGACTTTTCCCAAGGTCAGATAGCTAGGAAATGGCAGAGCTGGGATTGAAAACCAGGACTGCAGGACTCCAAAGCAGATGCTCATTAATTAGTGAACTTCAGAGCTTTAATTTTCCTGTAAAGAAAGTTAATTGTCTCCATCCCATAGACTCCTTTATGAGATAAGCATGTAAAGTGGCTGGCACATAGTAGGCCCTTTAAATACACTTGTTAAATCATTATCATCGTTCTTCCCAAATAAGGCAAATGTAGACCCTGCCCCATACTTGGCAGCAGTGAGCGAGGAAGACTGGTAGTTAATGGCATGTTGTTGTTGTGTGCCGTGGAGCCAATTCTGACTCATAGCTAACCTGTATGACAGAGTAGAACAGCCCCATAGGGTTTTCTAGGCTGTAATCTTTATGGGAGTAGATTGCCAGGTCTTTTCCCCCATGGAGCCTCTGGGTGGGTTCGAATAGCTGACCTTTCGGTTAGCAGTCAAGTAATTAACCATTGTGACACCAGGGCACCTTGGTTAATGGCCTAAGTGGTGACAATTGGAGCTGGAACAGGACTGGGGAACTGAAACGGCGCCCTGCGATCATCCCACTCCCTCATTTTTCAGTTGAAGAATCTGAAGCCCAGAGAGGGGATGAGACTTATTCCAGGTCACACAGCAGATTAGAGCCAGGCCCAAGGCCCAGGTCTCCTGATCCCAGGCTGCAATCATTGTCTTGGCTCAGATAATTAAAAGCCATCAAAAGGGCTTGCAGCGTGCACCATACTAAGCATTTTATGTGTTTGGTCTCATTTTATCCTCACATCAATTTAGGGACAAAGAGCCCTTTTTACAGCTGAAGAAGCATTCGGAGTGGTGAAGACAGTTGCCTGAGGCGTGAAGAAGAGCGTGAAGCCATATCTGCTGGTTTCCAGATCCCACAAACTCCCCCCTTTATCACCCTCAAGATTCAGCCTGTCCAAGACAATGGCTTGCCCCGGCAGAATTCCCCAATTTCTGTCTAGCAGCGTCCACTCCTTCTGCCTACAGATGGAGCAGGGAGAGGAAGCTGAGTCAAGGAAGGCTTCTAGGGAGGAGAAAAGAGTACAGAGCCTGGGGGGTGGGGGTGGGGGTGGGCAGTGTCACAGAAGGGCAAAAGGGGTAAGGACCACTAGGCTCTTCCATCCTCTTCCCTTAGGCTAACCACTTGGGACCTTCAGACTGAGGGCTGGGGTAGTCCTGAAGCCTTGTCCCCCTCCCTCCCTTTCATACAGTTCACACAAGCTCTGCAGTTTGCAAAACCCTCACCCCTCCCTTACAGCCTGCGGTTTCCTGTGGGTCTGGGGTCCTGCCTGACTCGGCAGTGGAGACCGCGGGCAGCGGGGAGAGGAGGTGGTGTAAGCCCTTTCTTTGCCTTCTCATGCTGGGGCTGGCACACACACACACACACACACACACACACACACACACACACACACACACATCAGCCCCTGAGTCAGCTCCTGCCTGGCGGGGAGGGGCGGGGTCACTGATTCAGTCAGTAGCAGCTCCTTAAAGCCCCCAGGAGCACAGCTGCAGTCAGACACTGCTACCCTCACCATGAACCCCTGGCAGCTCCTGGTCCTGGTGCTCCTGGTGCTGGGTGGCTGCTGTGCCGCCCCCCGACCTCGTCAACCCACCTTTGTGGTCTTCCCAGGAGACCAGCAAACAAATCTTACCGACTTGCAGCTGGCAGAGGTAGGCAAACACACCAGTCTAGAGTTGGGGAGGGCTGGCCAGGAAGGTGCTCAGGGTCTCCAGGGAGGGCCTGGGACCTCAGAGGAGATGCTTTGCGGGGGGGTTATAGGATGTGATGGGCATCTCTGGGGAACAGAGGTGTCCAGGGGCAGGCACTGAGGTGGGAGGGGTCCTGTGGAGGCTCTAGGCAGTGATGGCTAGGGATGGTCAATGGGGATTTGCTAGGTGGGCAATGGGACATGGTGCCTGAGGGGAAGAATTGGAGGATTTTGTGGTGGGCATGGCCTGGGGGTGTGCAGGGTGGGTCCTTGGTTTTCCAGGGGTGAGCAGGGATGAGCCCTGGGGAGTCTAGGGTAGGCATGGGCAAGGGGCATCCAGGAGTGGGAAGGAGCTGAGGATGCCTAGGGTAGAGGGGGAGTCCTGGGTGGGCAGAAAACATTGGTACCCAGGGTACCAAGTTCTGGGCACAATGCCTTATTGCTAGTCCCTGGACACCTGGACAGGTGGAGTGGTTGCCAGTAGGGCAAAGAAAGGGGTCAGGCTCTGGGATGTCCTTGGCTTGCTCAGCTACATGTCATGGGCTCCCTTCATACGCAGGACTATCTGTACCGGTATGGCTACACCCATGTAGCAGAGATGAACCGTGAGAAGACATCCCTGGGTCGAGCGCTGAGGCGTCTCCAGCAGAACCTAGCCCTGCCAGAGACCGGCGAGCTGGACAACGCCACCCTGGAAGCCATGCGAGCCCCGCGCTGCGGCGTCCCGGACTTGGGCAGCTTCCAGACCTTTGAGGGCGACCTCAAGTGGCACCACCACGACATCACATACTGGTGTGCGGCTGGGCCCCGCGGGGGGCGGGGAGGGCACCCTGGCGGGCCAGCGGTGAACTCGTTCTGTCTGAGACGGGTCTCCGGGTTTCGGTACTTAACGTGCACCTAGTGCAGGGGCTCCACCCCTGAGCCTCCGTTTCCCTTTCCCGGAAATGGACTTCGCAATCCTACCCTACCGGCAGGGCCAATCTGCAGGGTCCACAGAAAAAAATGCGCCTGAAAGCACAGTATAGATGAACGCGTGGAGCGCAGAGAGACGTGGGGTGTTGCAGCTGCCCTCACCCTGGCCTCACGCTTTTCTCCCCGCAGGGTCCAAAACTACTCGGAAGACTTGCCCCGCGGCGTCATCGACGACGCTTTTGCCCGCGCCTTCGCGCTGTGGAGCGCGGTGACACCACTAACCTTCACCCAGGTGTACCCACAGGATGTGAAGGACTTGAAGGACGTGGACATCGTCATCCAGTTTGGGTACAAGGGTGAGAACGCGAGAAGGGGAAAGCCATGAGGGTCCTGGACAGCAGGACAGAGGGGGAAGGAAGGACCACCCAGAGTGCGGAGGGGGCAGTGGAGCCGGCTTTCTCTTCCTGGCCCGCTCAGCCTTGGCCGCCCCTTGCCGGTGTGGCGCCCCCTCCCGCGGGACACAGCCCAGCGCCGCGGCACAAGGCTTGCAGAGCTGCGCGCAGGCTGGGTTCTAGCCCGCACTGACCCTTGGCGAGCGCACGATCTGAATCTGTACGCGGCTGACTCCCTTCCTCTGCACCCATTTCTTCAGAGCACGGAGACGGGTATCCTTTCGACGGGAAGGACGGGCTCCTGGCACACGCCTTTCCTCCCGGCCCCGGCATTCAGGGAGACGCCCACTTCGACGACGACGAATTGTGGTCGTTGGGCAAGGGCGTCGGTGAGATACTGAGCCACTCCAACCCCCGGGTCCCTTCTCCCCTCATACCCGTCACCAGCCACCCTCACCCTGTCTTCTTCCTCCCGCAGTGGTTCCTACCCGCTTTGGAAATGCAGATGGCGCAGCCTGCCACTTTCCCTTCACCTTCGAGGGCCGCTCATACACCGCCTGCACCGCCGACGGCCGCTCCGACGGCATGCTCTGGTGCAGCACCACGGCCGACTACGACACCGACCACAAGTTTGGCTTCTGCCCCAGTGAGAGTGAGTGCGGGGTCGTGGCGAGGGGTGGGGGCGCCCACCACTCTCAGGGGCCAGAACTCTGGGTTCTTATGCCAGCTCTGCCACTAGTGTGTGACCTGCGAGTCACTCTCCTGTTCTCTAGGCCTAATGTCCTTATCAGTGAAGTGAGGAGAGAAGGGTTGGACTACAGACAGTCTGTGCGTCTATTAACTCTTAGCACCTCAGGGTGACAGTGTGGGCCTCCCCAGGACTCTACACCCAGAACGGCAATGCGGACGGTAAGCCCTGCGAGTTTCCGTTCACCTTCGAGGGCCGCTCCTACTCTGCCTGCACCACCGACGGCCGCTCCGACGGCCAACTCTGGTGCGCCACCACCGCCAGCTACGACCAGGACCGGCTCTACGGCTTCTGTCCCACCCGAGGTACCTCCGCCCAGCCTACCAGATTCAGCCCCGTCCCCTGGTCCTTTATTGGTCCCTGAAACGTGGCTCCTCCACCCATCAGTTTGTCTCACCACAACTCATTGGTCCTCAGGACCGTCATGACTCCTCCCACAGCCACAACTCCTCCCCCTGACTTCCAATTGCCCCGCCCCATCCACCAAGGCCTACCCTTTCTGCTCAGCCTTCTGCCTCTTCAGTGGCTCCTGCCCCCCAGCCCCGCCCACCACTATTGCCTTGTCTCACCTGAGGCCCGTAGCGCCCCCTAGGCTTTTTTAATAGGTCACCGAGACTCTCCAGCTCCTTCTTTGGCCCTCCCCTGGATCCTTATGCGATCCACCTATCCCACTCACCCAAGGCCCTGGGTCTCTCCAGCTGACTCAACAGTGACCGGGGGCAACTCGCCGGGGAAGATGTGCACCTTCCCCTTCGTTTTCCTGGGCCAGGAGTACTCGACCTGTATCAGGGAGGGCCGCAGAGATGGGCGTCTCTGGTGTTCCACCACCTCGAACTTCGACCGAGACAAGAAGTGGGGCTTCTGCCCGGACCAAGGTGGGCGGAGTTCCGAGGCTCTGGGGCTGGTGATTGGGGTTTGGCCCGGCCTCACTTCTCAGGCTCCCTTTTCCCTCCAGGATACAGCCTGTTCCTTGTGGCGGCGCACGAGTTCGGTCACGCGCTGGGCTTAGATCACACGTCGGTGCCGGAGGCACTCATGTACCCCATGTACCGCTTCACCGAGGAGCACCCCCTGCATGAGGACGACGTGAAGGGCATCCAGCATCTCTACGGTGAAGCTATGGGGCAGGGATGGAGGGAAGACAGAGAAGGGAGCGGCTCTGCCATAGCACCGGAGAAAGGACCCCCAACATCTGGGGGAGAGCGGGGTCCAACCCCTGCCCATCAGTGCTTGGAGGTGGTGATTAAGATCCCAGACTCTGGGGAGGAGAGGAACGTGGGTTCAAAAGCCAGTCCAGCCACCTCGTGGCTAGGTGAACTTGGACATGTTACTTCACCCTTTGATGCCTCAGTTTCCTCACCTGCAAAATGGGTTAATAATGGTACCTGCCTCATAGGATTGCTTTGAGGATTAGATGAGTTAGAACAGTGCCTAGCACATAGTAAGCAGCATGTAAGTGTTTGCTATTTTTGTTATCATCACTTGCCATTATCATTAGTATATTTCCTCATTTAAAAAATGGGATTATTCAAGTATATACTTCATAGGGTTTCTATAAGACCAAATGAGCCAATGTGAGTTTATAAAGCTCTTTACGTTAAGTCTGGCAAATGGTGAGCTCTCAAAACACACTTCTTTCTCACCAGCCTGGAAGGGGGAGGGTTCTCTCTGTCTGGTGTCCCCTGACACAGTCCAGGGATTGGATAAATATGTCTTGAATGAAAGGTAAATGTGTGAGAGGAAGCGGCCTGCCTGTGGCTGGGGGAAGGCAGGCGCTAACATCTCAGGTGAGGTGGACAGTTTATGCCAGATGGAGGCCCACTGACAGGCTTCGGGGAGCCTCCCCGGGTATAGGGATGTGGGCGAGCGGGGCTTGCTCATCCAGTGCTGCTTTTTTAGGTCCTCGCGCTGAACCTGAACCACGGCCTCCAACCACCACCGCACCTGAACCCCAACCCACGGCTCCCCCGACTGTCTGCCTCACAGTACCGCCGACTGTCCGCCCCTCAGAGCGCCCCACTACTGGTCCCACTGGCCCCCCTTCAGCTGGCCCCACGGGTCCCCCCACTGCTGGCCCTTCTGAGGCCCCCACCGCTAGCCCTTCTGAGGCCCCCACGGTGCCTTTGGATCCAGCGGACGATGCATGCAACGTGTACATCTTTGACGCCATAGCGGAGATCAGGGACCATCTGCATTTCTTCAAGAACGGGTGAGGTGGTAGGGATGTGGGTTTGCGGGAAGGGGCTTGGAGATGGCACCTGCCTATCCCTTCCCTCTCACTGGTCCTTGATCCATGACTCAGTGCTTGCCCCTCTCTTTTCACATCCCCAGGAGGTACTGGAGACTCTCTGAGGGCAGGGGCCGCAGGGCACAGGGCCCCTTCCTTATCTCGGACACGTGGCCCAAGCTTCCTCCAAAGCTGGACTCTGCCTTTGAGGACCCGCTCACCAAGAAGGTTTTCTTCTTCTCTGGTTAGTTCCCACTTCTCTTTCCCCGTCCCCCACCCCTCGCCAGTGAGGAGGACTGAGAATTGGAGGATAAGCCATAAAACATCTTTGCGCAGATTAGAAAAAGCAGCACCCTCCTGGTGAATGCAGTTTAGCAAGTTTATAACCAAAACCCAGTTGCCATCATGCCAATTCTGACTCATGGCGACCCCATGGATGTCAGAGTAGAAGGGCACTCCACAGCGATTCCAATGGCTGTGAGCTTTTGGAAGTAGATTGCCGAGGCTTTCCTCCAAGTTGCCTCTGGTGGACTGAAACTTCCAGCCTTTCCGGCAACAGCCAATCGTTTGGTTACCCTTAACTATTTACACCACCCAGGGATTCCTTTGCGAGTGTATAGGGGACTGATTTCAGCCTTCTCGCAGCGCACCCTTGCAATCCCTACACTGCGGCTCTGCCCTTGCGTACAGAGCGTGCAGGCACAGCGACCTGAGCAAGGCCTCCCTGGGTCCTCCCTCCTCACATTTAAGGATAATGTGGGCCCCCTCCCGGGTCGCCAGACCGATGCGACCCTTTTCTCCTGCAGGGCGCCAGGTGTGGGTGTACACAGGCGCGTCGGCGCTGGGCCCGAGGCGGCTGGACAAGCTGGGCCTGGGTCCGCAGGTGGATCACGTCACCGGCGTCCTTCCTCGGGGCGAGGGTAAGGCGCTGCTATTCAGCAGGCAACGATTCTGGAGGTGAGAGCCACGGCGGTCGCCGGCAGGGGGAGCCCGGGCGCCGTCCGCCTGCCGGCTGGCTCAGCACCTGTCTGCTCGCTGTAGGTTCGACGTGAAGACGCAGACTGTAGATCCCGAGAGCGTCGCCTCGGTGGACCAGATGTTCCCCGGGGTGCCCTTGAACACGCACGACATCTTCCAGTACCGAGGTGAGGGTGTGGTCTGGGGACGGGGGAGGGTACCTTGTCCCGCTTCTGGGCTCCCCTGCCTCAGTAACTGGTCAAATTCTGAGCAAGAAAGAAAAAGCTGTTGGAGATTGAGGCAAATACCCCCGCACGGGTGAGATCCCTATAGCGGCAGAGGCCTTCCCCAGGCCATACAGGAAGTCAGGGGCACAGCCAGGGCTAGCACCCAAATTACCTGCTTCCCCGGCTGGAGGCTCTTCTCCCTCCCGCCCCTCTCCCCCACCGCCCCAGTACAGGACACATGGTTTGCACGGAGACACATTGCTTTATTAAACAATATTTATCAAGAGCCTGTAATGTGGTGGGCACTGTGCTGCCACTGGGGATGCAATGATAAATAAGACAATCCATAGCTGTGTGTCTTTGGGCAAGTCACTGCCACTCTCTGAGTCTCAGTTTCCCCATCTGTAAGATGGGCAGGATAGTTGGAGTTATACTTGCGTTCTCTTTTTCTCTTACTGCACACATTCAATCAGTTGGCCAGTTCTGTTGACTTTGCCACCAAAATATTCTTTTGAATCTTTTCACTTTTGACCATCTCTTTTGCTAACACCCTTGTCCAAGCCATTCTGGTTGTCCAATATCTTTAATATATTCCCTGGGAGTAGGGATGGGTTAGGAGTGGAAGGCAGTGGTCAGACTCATTCCAAGGTCAAAGAAACCAATGCGATCTGACCCCCACTCTCCGTCCTCAACTTCTCCCATTACTCCTGTTATTCACTCTGCTTCTCCCACACCCACCTTCTGGCAGTTCTTTGAACATATCAAGGTCATTCCTGGCTTAAGGCCTTTGCACCAGTTTCTCCCTCTGTCTGGAAGGCTCGTCCCCCAGATTGTCACCTGGCTGCCTCCCTCTTATCCTTCATGTCTCAGCACAAAGGCCACTTTCCAAAGAGGCCTTCTCTGACCCTCATTATCATTTCACTTATTTGCTTTTCTTTCTTCCATAGCTTTTTACATTGTCAAAACCAATCTCATTGATTTACTTGGTTGCTTGTTAATTGTCCGTGTTGTCCCACTGCAGTGTAAGCACCAAAGGAACTGAGATCATGCCTATATTTTCTCTGCTGTATCCCCAGTGCCTCAAATAGTGCTTGGCACATAGTAGGTGCTCAATGAATTTCAGTTGAATAAATGAATGAATTAGTTGAATGAATGAGTGCATGTTGAATGAATTGTTCTGGGCATTGGAATAGGTCAGCCATTCATTTATTTGTTAGTTCATTCACACAATGTCTGCTGAGTGCCTACTGTGTGCCAGGCTCTGTGCCAGTGCTTTGGACATAGAGGTCTGTGCCTTCCAGCATCTCACAGGCAGGTGAGGGAGATGGAGGTGTCACATGAAAACCTTGGAAAGATCTAGAAAGGGCAGGAGGGATGATTGCAAAGATCTTGTTCCTGTTTCTGGATGTGTATGTAGGAAGGTTGGGATCACCAGTCTCACACCTGCCTCTCCCCTGCAGACAAAGCCTACTTCTGCCAGGACCGCTTCTTCTGGCGCGTGAATTCCCGGAATGAAGTGAACCAGGTGGACCAAGTGGGCTATGTGACCTTCGACCTCCTTCAGTGCCCTGAGGAGGAATAGGGCTCCCTATTGTGTTTTGGCAGTGAAGTGAGCGTCCCTACGGGGACCATACCTAGTGGGGAAGGAGCCAGTTTGCCGGATACAAACTAGTGGGTCTATTCTGGGGGACACGGAGGAGTGGAGGCGGGCTGGCCCCCTCCTCCCACCTTCCTTTTTTGTTGGAATATTTCTAATAAATTTGGATTCTCTAACCTTCAGAAGCGAATTTATATGTACATGTGTGTGTACGTGTGTATGTATTTATTTAACAGATAGAGTGCTTATTATTTGTCAGGCGATGTTCTAAGCATTTCATAAATATTAACATAGTCAATCCTTAAGGAACCCTGGTGGCACAGTAGTTAAGCACTTGGCTGGTAATCAAAAGGTCGGCAGTTTGAACCCACCAGCCTCTGCTCTGCGGGAGAAAGACGCGGCAGTCTGCTTCCATAAAGATTACAGCCTTGGAAACCCTATGGGGCAGTTCTACTCTCTATGAGTTGGAATCTACTCGATGGCAACGGGTTTCTTTTTGGTTTATTCAGTCCTTAAAAGAAAAAAACCAGTTGCCGAGTTGATTCCGACTCATGGTGGCCCCATGTGTGTCAGAGTAGCACCGTGCTCCATAGGATTTTCTGTGGCTGATTTTTCGGAAGTAGATCGCCAAGCCTTTCTTCTGAAGTGCCTCTGGGTGGACTCGAACCTCTAGCCTTGCAGTGAGCAGCTGAGTGTGTTAACTGTTTGCATCATCCAGGGACTCCATTCAATCCTTACAACTACCCTATTAGGAAAGTATGCTATGATTATTCCTATTTTACAACCAAGGAAATGGCTCACCCTCATCAAACATTTTTTGAGCCGTGACTTGGAGCCCGGCCCTATGCTGGGCACTGGAGATAGAGAGATGGTCAGTCCTGAAATGTAGGAATCATTCGTTTAAACTTCTTACCCTAGTACAGTGTTTCTCAACCTCAGCACTATTGCCATTTGGGGACTGGGTGTTTCTTTGTTGTGGGGGGCTGTCCTGTGCATTGAAGGATGTTTGGTGTCTTCCCCCAGGATATGGTGGGTTGTGGACAGGGATCTGTGGCCAGATGCTAGACCAACTTAGGGTCAGTCGCCCCACCCCCTCCTCTGGTCTCCATGGGAGGCACTGAGGTGACGGTGAACCTGTGGCTTATGGCCAGGGAGCCTTGGTGCAGGTCAGGATGGCACAAGTGGCCTCTACACACTAGATGTCAGTAGCACCCCCTAGATGTGACTACCAAAAATGTCTCCAAACATTGCCAAGTGTCCCCTGGTGGGCAATACTGCCCCCAGTGGAGAACTGTTGCTCTAGCATAATCAACATACAGACAAATACACCTATCACAAGTGTAGGTTTCAATAGATTTTCACAAACTGAACACAACTGTGTAACCAGCACCCAGATCAAGAATCAAAACATTATCAGCACCCTATAAGCCCCTTCATGGCCCTTGCAATCCCTATCCACTTCTCCCCAAGAATAGCCACTATCATGACTTCTACCAGCTTAGATAGATTGACTATCTTTGTACTTTAAATAGTGTCATACAGTATACAGTCATTTGTGTCTGGCTTCTTTTGCTCAATGTTGTATTTGTGCGATTCATCCAAATTCTTCTGTGAATTGTAGCTTGTTCGTTCTCATTACTGTGTAGCATTCCATTGTGTGAAGGTATGACAATTTGTCCATTTTACTGTTGTTGGGCATTTGGGCAGTTCCCTATCTGGGGCTATTATGAACAATGCTATGAACATTCTTGTAAATGACTTTCGGTGAACACGTGCAGCCATCTCTTTTGGGTATATACCTAGGAGTGGAATTGCTGGGCCAAAGGGTATATGTATGTTCAGCTTCAGTAGAGACCACCAAACAGTTTTCCAAAGTGTTTCTGCCTATCTACACTCCCAGCAGCAGTGTATGTAGAGTTTCCAGGGGTCCTCCTTGACTCCTTCCTTTCCATCACATGCCACACCCAACCCATCTGCAGATGCTGTTGGTTCCAAAACATCTGGAACCAGATGACTGCCACCACTCTAGTCTGGCTGTCATCACCTCTCATTTGGTCTGCAGGAATCTCCTAGACTCCCAGCTTGCACTCTTGTTCTTCTTTAGTCAAATCTTCACCCAGCAGCCAGACTGATCCTGTTAAAACATGAATCGGATCACATAATTCCCCTGCTCCAAAATCTCCAATGGCTTTCCTTTTGGATTAGAAAAGAATCTGGGCTCCTCCTTGAGGCCTCCAAGAGATCAAACGATGTGCCCACCTCTCCTCCTCCACTCACTCTGTTTCACTGGTCTTCTTATTGATCCTTGTACAGTACAGGCTCCTTCCCACCCCAGGGCCTTTGCACTTGCTATTTCTTCTGCCAGAGAACTCTTCTCTCAATCTTTGCATAGCAGTCTCCTCACCTGTCAGGTCTCAGCTCAAATATCACATCTTCCGGTAGGCTTTCTCAGTTCTCAGACCACCCCCTAACGTAGCCCTTCCCCCTAGTCTTATCCCATGGTCCTATTTTCTTTTCTTCTCTTCTGAACATATACTACAATATAAAATTATCTTGTCTATGCATTTGCTTGCTTGTGATCATTCCCCCTCACACCTCACTAAATTTAAGCTGCAGGAGTGCAGGAAGCCAGTCGGTCTCATTCACTGCTGTATCTCCAGTGCCTAGCACCGCACCTGAAACACAGGGAGCTATCAATATGTGTTGAATGAATGAATGAACCCCAGGTGTTTAGGAGACCCTAGCAGAGGCAGCCCGGGACTCAGGCGGCCGCACACTAGGGCCCCCTGGATAGCAACGGCTCTTTGCTGTGGGTGGGCTCCTCAGGCGCTTCTGGTGGAATAGAGAGCCCGGGGCCTCCGAGCGAAGTCGCCGGGTTCAGGGAGGCCCAGCTGAGCGGGCACTAGGACCCTGCGAGGCGCCGCGGCGAGCAGGGGGCGACGGGCGGGGGGATCCGCTCTTTCTGCCTCACAGAGCCTGGATGCTGCCACTTGTGCGATCTGGGCCCGCGCCCTGGCCGCCTGCTCGCTTTCCACGCCATGAGCCGCAGGTTCACCGTCACCTCGCTGCACCCGACAGGGCCAGCGGGGATACCTAACCCCGAGTCCAGCCGGCGAGCAGCCACAGACCCCCGCCACGTCCCGCGGGAAGACGCCAAAGGTAGAGGCCGCAGGGGGCGGGGCCGAGGCGTGCCGGGAAGGGGGCGGGACCTGCCGTGTGGGCGGGGCGAGATGAGGGAGGGCATTGGAGGGGCGGGTCTTCTGTTGAAAGGGGTGGGGTCCGGGCTGGGGAGGGTCCCAGCTGAGGGCAAGAGAGCGGCGGGGAGCCGGGACCAGGGGAGGGGGCGGAGCCCAAGACGTGAAGGGGCGGGGCCAGACCAAGGCGGGGTGGTGGGAGGGGGCATAGGGAAAAGGGTAGCACCTGGGGAAGAGCTGGGTCCGTAGGCCAAGGAGCAGATCTTGTGATGGAGGGGCTAGGGTCAAGGGGGCGGGGCTGGAGGGTACTAAAAGAAGGGGGGCACATCTTGAGTAGGGGACGGGACCAGAAGGGAGGAAGTGGGCCCAGGGAAAAGCGGGGGGCGTGTGATTGGGGGGGTTGGCCCAGGGCAAAGTGAAAGGGGCGGGACTAGCTCGGTTAGGGGGCGAGAAAGGGCGGGACCAGAGGGGATGGAGTGGGGCTAGGGCTGGGGAGTGGGATCAGAGCGCGAGGAAAAAATGCGTCTGGGTCGCTGAGGCATGTCGGCGAGTCTTTAGTGCCTGGCGGGTCCCCGGAATGTCGCAGACAGCGCCCGGGGATCCCAGGAAGAAGATGGCAGAAAGAGAAGTTGATTTGGATCCTGGGCAGCCAGATCCAGGGAAGATCCCGCGGGTACACCAGCCCTGACCCGCAAGGACCCACTTAGCTTTCTACACCAGCTCCCGTAGGGTTGGGAGGAACCAGTTCACAGGAGGTTGGGGGCGTCTTCCTCTCGGGCCCGGTGCATTGGTACCCGCAAGGGTACAGAGGAGAGGGGAAGGGAAGAATCCTTCTAACCTTCGTTGAAGAGGTAGCATCTTGGCTGCACACACAGTCTCCTCGTCAGGGGCTGCTTATCAGGGGTCCCCAGCCTGGCTCTGCGCCCCTCAAGACTGGCAGGAACGAGGCAAGTCGGCTTGGAGTGGCCCCAGCGCGGGGAGGAGGAAGAGCCTCCTCGGGACGCCAGGGGTCGCTGCTGAGCCGCAGGTGGGCTCGCCCTGGCCCCAGCAAACCCAAGAGCCAAAACCCTAAGAAGGGGCCTCAGGGACTTCTTTGGCAAGCCTCCTCCTTGTATAGATGACCACATCCAGGCCTAGAATTTCCCAGGGCTCCAGCTCCCTGAACCAACTGCCTCCTGGACATGGCCACTCGGATTTCTTGGGCTCCTTCTGCTCTTCACCTTCCCTATAGTTTGTCTGCTCCTTTGCCCACTTTCAGGAATGACATTACTATCCTCCCAGGACTGAAAGTCAGAAATCTGGGAGCCATCCTCAATGCCCCTTTTTCTCTTCTCGCCAAATCTAATTGATCCTCCGGTCTTGGCCACTTCATCTCCACAACTTATCGTGAACCTGGCCACATCTCCCTATCTGTGTGTCACCACCACCCTGGTCTGAGCCTCCAATCTCTCTCCCATGGCCACGTCCACAGCCTCCTCACAGGTCTCCCTGCCTCTGGTCCTGCCTTACCCACCCTCCACACAGACTCCCAATCACTTGTAGGATAAAGACCAAACCCCTTGATTTTCCATTCAAGCTCTCTCCTCTTCTGCTCCTGGTGTCCCCTCCCCCGCCCCCATTAGCCAGGGAAACTCCTACTCACTCTGCGTTGCAGCTCATTTAACCTCTTCTGAAATCCTTCTTTGCTTTCCCTCATTCCCAGGCAGAGGTAGACATTTCCCACCATTAGAGCACATATCTCAGTGATGGCATGGCAGTTATGTACTGGTGGTGCAGTGGTTAAGAGCTCGGCTGCTAACCAAAAAGGTTGGCAGTTTGAACCCACCAGCCACACTCCTTGGAAACCCTATGGGGCGGTTCTACTCTGTCCTGTAGGGTTGCTATGAGTCAGAGTGGACTTGACGACAGCGACAGCGGGCTTGGTTTTTCGGTTTCTCCTCCTTTGGAGCATCTCGGGGGCAGGGACCATATCCTTTTATCTTTGTATT